GTTTTCTTTGTAAAAGTTAATCAATTACTTTTTCTTTATATCATTGTGCCTAATGAAAACAAATATAACATAGACAGAGATGAACAGAAATAGATAAAAAAAATATGAGCAGAAATAGATAGATAGATTGAATGTAAATTTATACATATATAAATATATATAAATATATATGTACAGATTATAGATAGATAATGAACATAGATAGATAGATAGATAGATATATAGATATGAATAGAAATTGATAGGCATATATATATATATATATATATATATATATATATATATATATATATATATATGATTTGATAGGATGCGCACTGCTGATGAGTCCCAAATATGGGACGAAACGGCCGTCCAGTGCTTTCTGCATTCTGTTGAGGTTTCTATCAGACTCGATGAATTAATTAAATATAATTATCAAATCCTCCTAATAATTTCCATCTATGTATATCATTGCTTGAACCAGCTTCTAATGCTCTAGAGTGAGCGGCCTAGTGAGAGTAGTCGTGGCTCCAGGAGGCACAGTCCTATGGTTACAGAGAACTCAGTAGAGTTCCACCACGGAATATGTGAGCGCGTTGTTGAGTCTGATTTGCAGTATCTTTGTCACCGAGGCCCAGTGGAACAGTTGGTATGATTGTGGCTTGGTAACCTAACTCGGTAGTGGATGCGCACTGCTGATGAGTCCCAAATATCGGACGAAACGGCCGTCCAGTGCTTTCTGCATTCTGTTGAGATTTCTATCAGACTCGATGAATTAATATATATATATATATATATATATATATATATATATATATATATATATGAACAGAAATAGGTAGGTAATGAGCGCAGATAGCTAGATAGTAGATATGAAAATTATTTTATATAGTATATATGTATATATGTGTGTGTGTGTGTGTGAGTGAGTGTTTATGTATATATATATATATTTTTGAGATATTTTTATGTTTATACATTCTTAAAATCTTAAAATAATTGTCGGACTTTGTCCATTCAAAAATATATATATATATATATATATATATATATATAGATGTGAACAGAAATAAATGTATAGATAGAAATTTCTACAAATTAAGATAGACATGAAGAGTAAGAGATTTTGTTCCAGACAAAGATTGATTGATTGATTGATCGATAGATAAATCATTGACAGATTGTGATATTCACATACATACATACAAGTGGATACTGTAATTTATTTTGGTTCACCAACAAATAAGTTGAGTAAAAATTGTATTTTTTCATCGTCATTGATTCCTAATCAGTTTTATTTTGGAATTGCTCTTCCTTTCTGAAATCAATGTTTAAAAATGGCTTCGAGCAAATGACCCGTGTCGGTCTTAAAGTAGGCTCTCTTTAAAGTAATCTCTCTTTCATCAAATCCCATAGACTGACGCTACAGGATCACAACCAAAGGACTGTGCCATTTTAAAAAATCTACATCACTTGCTTTCTAACAGTAGCAACAACTAAAATGGATAACACATGTAACTGGAAGGGAAAATACCAAGATACTAATTTCGACATTATTTTTAAAAAGATACTTGAAAGAAGCCGCCATAAATACTCAGAAGAGCAATGACGACGGTCTTGAGAAACTACTTTTCCTGATAACAGTTTGAAGTGAAATATTGCATTACGATGCTAACAGTCCAGTCACTGAATGTTCCTATGAGAAGACATTGTAAATGCTTTTAGTATAAGAATACATTGTAAATGATTTTAGCATAAGACATTCTAAATGATTTTAGTTTAAGAATGCATTGTAAATGATTTTAGTATAAAAAGACATTATAAATGATTTTACTATAAGAATGCATTGCAAAGGGTTTTATTATAATAATGCATTGTTAAAGATTTTACGATAAAAATGCACCCGTCCTGGGTATGATAAACTACCTCCGCGTCCTGGGTAAGACGATAAACTACCTCCGCGTCCTGGGTAAGACGATAAACTACATCCGCGTCCTGGGTAAGACGATAAACTATGTCCAACAACAAGGCCGTTGATTAGGAGGTTTTAAGGAACGTAGAACCACCTCTTAATTGCTGGTGTCCCCAGGTACACCCTCACCCGAGGTGTTAGCACCTGTTAGGGTCCCAGCTATGGGCAAATATTTAACAACGAAACTGAGGTAAAAAGCATTATAAAAGTGTAAAAATAGGTTTTAATACCAGAAATACTTTGTACAAATTATTACCAGAAACAAAATTTTGAAGAAAAAAAAATACCAGCAATATATTTTTAAAAAAATATTACCAGCAATATATTTTTGAAAATATATTACCAACAATATATTTTTGAAAAAAAAATCTTACCAGCAATACATGTTTTAAAATAATATTACCAGCTATACATTTTTGAGGAAAAAAAATATTACCAGAAATAGATTTTTGACAAAAGAAAATATTACCAGGAAAAAAGTTGTCGGCATTAAATAACCCATTCAGGTTGATATGCCGTAAAACAACAAACCAAAAATGCACTGTAAATGATTTTACTATAACAATGTATTGTATATGATTTTACTATAAGAGTATATTATTAATGATTTCGTGAGAATACATTGCAAATGATTATACTATAGGTATGCATTGTAAATGATTTTATTATAAAAATGCATTGCAAATAAGTTTGATATAAGTAAAGATTGTAAATTATTTTATCTTAAGAATGCATTGTAAATGAATGTCGAATATTTCCGATATAGAAATGGCTAATTCCCCCATTAAGATTACAGAAAAAGCCTTTTTGTGTCTTAAATTCCAAACAGATTTATTGATGAAATATCTGTATGAGCGGAAAATTAAATCATCTCAAATATCAAATCAAATTAATTTGAAAGATTATTGCAGTAATGAAACAGACGTCTTCTCTTATCAGACATTCTTTCACTTACTTGCGAATACAATAATTCTTCACAGTAGTTCTTCTGGAAAGAACGTCTACCAATTACTGTAAAGAAATTATCGGCAACAATGGAATAATCAAATGCTGCTTCAAATGCCAACACAAGATTGCACCAACATGGTTGTGTCACAAGCGCATCAGTAATGATATGAATTATGTTCGCTCAACAATGCGCTTTTGACGGCAATGTTAACAGGATTTGATTTCAATGGATTGATTCGTTTTTTAGGGCATATAAACACTTAAAAGCCTGAAAATAATTTGAGATTGCAAGAATCGTTTGGAGATAATAATGATTCTGTGATACAATTCTTACTAATTAACCCATACCTGGCGGAGAAGAAGGGGATTCATACCCTTCACAAGGATATTTAAACAAAAATGTTCAAGAAAACAGTAGATGGCGATTGACGTTGCATTTAAACTTTTGAAGATTGTAGTTATCAGGGAGGCAAGAAAGCAGGAGTGAGTTTCACAGGTGGGAAGTGCGAGAAAAGAAACCGTTAGAGTAAAAGTGGCGGTTGCATCTAGCTAGTTCAACAGTAAAACCACGAGACCTAACTGCCAATTGAGTAGCTCTCTGAATTCCATGTAGTCAGGTCACCAATGCGAAAAGCTCATCAGAACATGAAAATATTTGTAGAAAAGACAAAGGGAAGCCACGCCAAGACGTTGAGTGATGTAATGAATATGCATACACCTGGGTTCCCCCTCACAGTAATATGATTGTCTGGTGACAGCCATAAATACAGACTGATAAGGAGGTACATAGACGGTCCCTATAGTCTTCGCCTATTGCCTACGCCTATTGCCTACCACTACGACGAAGACCAGTCCATTACGGTTACCTGCTAGATTGTCCTACCCGGTTACAGTAGTCAACACCCACTTTGCTACTTCGAACAAATATATCCCTTTCCGGGACATATCAGTGAGAATGTGACTGAAGTCGAGATGCCAGGGTAGGATCGATTACATTACAGATCCTTCTTTGGATTTTGTTAAGAATCTCGAGATGAATAGCAGGAACATCAGACCAGATATGGCAGCAGTATTCAATGCTCGGATGAATGAAGTCGAGATGCCAGGTCAGGATCGATTACATTACAGATCCTTCTTTGGATTTTGTCAAGAATCTCGAGATGAATAGCAGGAACACCAGACCTGATATGGCAGCAGTATTCAATGCTCGGATCAATGAAGTTGAGATGCCAGGTCAGGATCGATTACATTGCAGATCCTTCTTTGGATTTTGTTAAGAATCTCGAGATATACAGTAGGAATACAAGACCAGATATGACAACAGGATTCAATGCACGGACGAATGGTTGATTTGTAAATGTGCAAGATGAATGGCGAGGAAAACCTTCTGGCACGACGCAGGGATCCAATTTTCCTTCCCGTAGACGCTGCTGTTGAGATAAAGAAAATTTAAATGATCAATTTCTTGTTCAAATGTCAGGAGAATATAGCTTCATATCGGTTGAAACACAAGTACATCGGTAACGATAAGAAATATGTTTATCTGCAATATTAACAGGAAATTATTAGATTGATCCGTTTTTTTTACGGCGTATCAACATTTGCAGGTTATTTGAAGCCAGAAAATATTATTACATTTTATGAATTTTGTTTGTTTGAGATAATAATGATATAGTGATAAAAGTCTCATATGAGAATAGGTGGATTCATTCCTTTCCTAAGATTATTTGCACGTAAGCGACGATAACGAACTTGACTAGAACTGGAACTCGGCACTCTGGTTAACAATTCCGAGCCATTATCTATTACATCAACCTTACAGCACCTGGAATTTCAAACCGCCGACATTTCTAAGTATTGACCAGGCTAGATATTGCTTAACTTCGGTGATCATACAGGAATCAGTGTTTGGAAATAATGTGACAATAAGCCTTTTATACAACCCACATATCCATGCTTAAATAAACGTCGTACTCCCAAGCGCTCACCCATCTAGTAACTGACCAGACTCAACATTGCTTAACTTCGGTGATCATACATGAATCGGTGTTTCGATGTAATGTAACCGTAAGGCCTACTTACAGCTCGCACATCCATGCTTACAGCACCTGGTATTCTCAAGCGGTTACCCATCTAGGTACTAACCAGGTTCGAAATTCCTTAACTTCGGTGATCGTACAGGAATCGGTGATTGGAATTCATTTTGAATATTATGCGTCGTTTGAGAGTAGTGAATATTACAAGACCTTGGCGTTGGATGACAGAAACAGGATCATGGACGAACTTATAGATGCTATAACCAATTGAAACATTTGTTACGTAAGGCAAAATATCTGCTAATTTATGCTAATTCAATATATATATACATATATATATATATATATATATATATATATATATATATATATATATACAAGTATATAATTGGTATATACGGAATGAATTCAATAACCAACAATTACTATTCTTAAAAGAGTGCTCAATACAAAGTAGAGCAGATATAATTATTATTTATAAAAAAAATTATAACATAAGTATGTCATAAAATCACTACAAAAATAGCCATTTTGTTTCAACACAAGTGTCTTATCAGGTGATGATGTTCAAGATATCTTCAACATCATCACTTGATAAGACACTGAGTGTGTTGAAACAAATGGCTATTTTGTTATGATTTTATAAATAATTATAATTATAATTTTTTTTTAATAATAATATAATAATTTTATATATATATATATATATATATATATATATATATATATATATATATATATATAAAAGGTGCAACCACAAAATTGACCAAATCATGTAAAAGCAAAATTTTATATTTGTTCGATTAAGATTTGAACCGTTGTATCTTAGAAATGATTAAAGATATCTTACTGGAATTCTCCGAAGTTTTTATAATACTATTGGACGCTACTTTGAGCAATAAGAATTTATAATTACTCTCCAAGCTTAACAGAAGAATCGTGATTAAATCGATCATAAACGAAAATGACATGTTTATCATTAATTCATCATAGCTAAGGATCGGAAGCTCATTAAGGATTGAAATATATATATATATATATATATATATATATATATATATATATATATATATATATTATTCCAAGAACATTTTCCAACATGATGATCTTTGCCCTTTCTAAGCGGCTAACCTTCTGTTCTGGAGTAACAAGGTGTCTCACAGTTTTCCGCTACGATTTTATTTTCAAGTTTTTATTCACTGCACTTTCGACTGCCATAGCTGAACCTCCTCTCTCACGTGCCAAACATCTTATGAATTGAGTTGGATCTTTCCTAATTGATCACTTTAGCTCTAAATTGAAATGATGATCCCTGTTCCGGATAGGATCTCCTGATCCAGTTTTCTTCTCTCATGTTCCCTCTTTTCAAACTTATTCACCATTCTCCTGATGCTTCTTTAAATAAACTTCGAAGATGGAAGCCAGGGTATGATTGCTGGTACCTTTACTAAATGCCTTAATGATCTTTTTTCCTCTCACCAATGCTCGCTTGGGAAGGCATAGTGGGGCTGACAGAAAACGATTTTAATTTGTTCTCTTTCTAGCTCAAAGGGTTTTTCAGTGATTTTTACGACAAATCTTGTTAAAATGGCTGAACGTCTTATCTAAAACCCTGACAAAAAGGAAACTCAGTTTAACGGTTTTTTACATATTAAACATTTTATTACTTGCAAAATAATACAACGTTTTTTGTTCTTTTACTTCATCTTTATATATTAAACATTTTTATATTCATTTGCATTGTTTTATCTCGGTTGAGTATGTAGGGTATAAATTAGAATTCTTTTCAAAATCATAAATATAACTTGGGACCTTTTTTATCTGTCTATATTTCTGAGGTGAGGTATTATGTGCACTATTTACATTATTCGGACCATTGTCCTCATCTTTGAGGCCATATTTATTATAACGCTTCGACCTTTCGGTATCTGTTTATACTTCTGAGATGAGGTATTATGTACACTATTTACATTATTCGGACTATTGTCCTCATCTTTGTCGCTATATTTATTACAACGGTTCGGCGTTTCAGTATCTGTCTATATTTCTGAGATGAGGTATTATGTACACTATTTACATTATTCGGACTATTGTCCTCATCTTTGTCGCTATATTCATTACAACGTTTCGGCCTTTCAGTATCTGTCTATATTTCTGAGATGCGGTATTTTGTACACTATTTACATTATCCGGACTATTGTCATCTTTGTTGCCATATCCATTACACCGCTTCGACCTTTCGGTATCTGTTTATATTTCTGAGATGAAGTATTATGTACACTATTTACATTATTCGGACTATTGTCCTCATCTTTGTCGCCATATTTATTACGCTTCGGCCGTGGTACGCTCCGGCCTTCTTCAGGTGATTGGAATGTCGAACTAAACCTTTTATTTCGCTAACTAGGATAGACCTTTCTACTTCTACGTGTCATGTTTAATGGATGTCAGTTATCTCATTTTAATTCCCCTCTCCAAGTTCTCCACCGCCTTAACCGGGTATTGAACTCACACTCTTTGCGTCCTGTTACTGGATCTAACAAACACCTTTCATGTTTTTACCAGAGCTCATATTTGTCTATTTATTTTAAGTGAGTTCCTTTCATATAAGCTTAATAACATTATCATTGAAGGACGAAAGGAAATCACCATATTGATACATGTTTAAATCCAATCTAAGCTTTCGGCTTACATAAGCCATTATGAAAGATGACAATTACTTTTCAATGCATCAAACAATACACGGACAAAACAATAATGATAGTCTGTTTTTGTTGCATGAAAAATTTCAAAGCAACGACAAACTCGTGTATACGAGACGCAGAAGCGAAAATTGCGTCGAAGATCGTGACGTCACACATGACATCGCGAGAGTGAAAAGGAGAAGTATTAAGTATGGGAAGCCGTTGGTAGAAACCAATGGCTTCTGTTACCAATTATAGACATTTAAGAATATTTGTGGAGATTTCATAGTTTATTTTGTTCAGGTTAGGTTTCAACTGTTTTATGTATATAGCTTCAAGAATTTTTAGTTTTTGTTTATTGTTTTCATGTTTAAGCATAGTTGTGTTTTCAACAAGGATTGTTTACTTAGCTTGCTTTTAATTTTTTTTTAATAAAACCAGCTGAATTTACAGATGAATTTTCCCACCTGATATTGTTTTTGTGCTTTTTTTCGTCTTTCTGGTTGTCTGTTAATTTTTTCCCCTCTCTACTGATCTACGCTGTGCCTGCGCAAGCAAAATACAAGAGAAAATTGTAGGGAAATAAAACGAGGAAGATAGAAAAACAGACGGACGGAATCAATGATCTGTTGGTCTGCCTCCAAAATTATCGTTTGAAATCTCTTACTTAAGGAAAGAAAGAAAAGACAGTTTTTCACAAGATCGCCACTGATTCTAAGAAAATGGCTTATTAAGAAATTCGAAATTGAACGAAAAGGACAAATGGAGGAAACAGTAAGAAGGGAGACACCATCTTTGTTTCATTTCTTTTTTTATTAACATTTTAAGCTGAGATTCAAAAGCTCACACGTTCTTTAATTGGCATACACTTTCGTTCTACAAGTCAGACATAGATTAAACCACCACCAAGAATATACACGGATTTGTTTTTTACGGCTAATCAAACTTGTGCAGGTTATTTAAAGCCATCATTTTTTAGATTGTAAGAATCTATTAGAGTAACCCTTTGAGCCCTTTGACTACTGCTTTACAGGTGGTAGACAAAAATAAAGTAATGCCCAACCACGAGATGAACAGTGGTAGAGAAAATGACTTAATGCCTAGCCATAGGTTGAACAGTGAGTAAACACTTGTAACTATTTTTATATCTACAGTGAAACATTACATACCAATTATTTGCGAATTTTGACTCAAGGGCTCAAACAGAAGGATTAAAATTGTTCAGGAACGCAAGGGTCAAAGGGTTAAAATGCGATTATTTTTGGTGCATATTTATATTGATTGTGCGATAATACACAATTATGGCACAAGGCCGAAAAAAGGGGAGGGATAAGGCTGGTCTTTATTAACTATCTTATAACTAGCTAATCCGATTCACGACCCATTCGCTCATTACAATTTTCGCATGCACCAAAAAAACTCGTTCGTCACCAATCAATCCTCCATACACCATAATACCGCATCCTCTCATGCGGGACCTACAAAACGCGCCCCGTGACATAAAAATTTAATGATAATAAATTATTATATATAAAAATTTAATGATGAAGAATGAGCGGGGAGGGAATGAACCCTAAAACAAACTAAATTATTAAGACAAAGCAAACTAAACATAACTGATGTTAGTAGGGCCCGTCCAACCCTCTAAAAAGAGAGGCCGTTGTATTCTGCTCAATTTTTTGGTGCATATTACCCATACTTACAATAGTGTCCAACGTATTTATGAGGATTGGGACATACCTATTCATGTACATAGGGTATATAACAGCATTTGGAATGCAACTTTGGTAATCCCAATGCGCTTTCGGATTTCAATGTTGCATTTTCGCCTGCCAAATTAAATCGCTGCCTATTATCCCATTGTCACTAGATCAAGGTTGTCACATGCTGAGTTCCAACACCGTATTGCGCAAGCTATGAATGGCTCTAAGCAATCTATTGCGCAATCTATGAATGGTTCTTAACAATTGCGTGGTTACCATCGGGTTTTTGGACGGTAGAAGGGAACCATCTCATCCACCTCAGCCCGTTTGGTAGCTGTCATTATTCAACGCCTGAGCATGTGTATGAACGGCTCAAAAGTGCTGTGGGAGAGTTTTTGGAGGAACGGGATGCTTCATTCTTCCGTAATAGAATTTCAATGCTTAAGCATCGTTGTACCAAGTACTTTCATGTCAAGTGTGCTCAAATTCTCGGATAACATGCCTTTTCACACTGCTCAAGCAGCTCCAGACCAAATATGACAGCAGTATGCAAGGGTGAATGGTTGATTTCTAGATTTGAAGGATGGACTCGGACGAAGCAGCCGACTGTCACTTTGAATTGTTACTCCATTCCTCCTTACTCACCAGTCTTGGCTCCATCTGAGATCTTCCTGTTTCCTAAACTCAAATCACACCTGTGTGGTTTCCATATTGGAAACAATGAGATGTTCCCAAGTAGTCATCTATGCAAAGGGCATTACTATTTACTG